AAATTTACTGAGAGAGTGAGAGATGTTTCCTAGCACTGGTTTCCTTCAACTATATGCCTATTCTTTAGAAAGTAGCTATTGTACTTTACATCCCAATGCAGTAGGATAATGAGACACGTTAAAGTCTTTGAGCAAGAGATGATGTATGGCATACTCAGAAATCAATTTACTACAATAATTTTTTTATCAGACACATACAGGGACTTCAATGTTTTAGAAGCTTGACCAATCAGTGAACTGGACAAAGATTGGTTCAATCCAACTGAATGATCAACTCTTGATACTACACCAAAACCAGTTAATTGTCATCTAAAATAAATTAAATAAATGAAAAGAAAATTGCTCCATGTCAAACTGCCATCAGGTTCGATATTCATGCAAATTCGAGGGTCAGACTGATGGTTCATAGGTTCTTTTCAATTTTCGTAAGGACTCAATTCACTAGTCAAATTGAACCAGTGGCATTTCAGTGGCCCAATTTTCGGGTCCAATCCAGTTTGTTAAACATTGATATGTGTATGTGTGTTTTCAAATTTAAGCAAGGATAACCCTTATCCTTAATGAATTCAGCACTAAAGGTCTAGGCTCCCAAGTTTGTATTTGATTTTTTGTTCTTGTTTGAACTACATATTTGATTTTTTTTGTTATTGTTTGAACCACATATGGAATATATATTCTAATATATGGGTGAATGCCATCTCTTTAATATAAGCAATCTTATTCTCTTTGAATTTATTTGGCAGTCACAATACAGGCACTACTTTTGGTTAAATAACAGAGAAAGAAAGATCAAGATGAATAATAAGTATATTTTTAGTAAATAAATTAACTTTAACAGTGGATTGGTTTTTCTGAGCTGTCTGAAGGGGAACACATATGGTTAATTCTTTTAAACACAGGCTGCATTCTTTTCACAGTAAAGGGGCTGATTACCAAGAAAAAATTGTGAAAAAGTTTGTGTTTTTTAATGTAGAAGGTATTGATAATAGATGAAATATTTCAAATAGAAATATTTTCTATCCCTTTTACATTGAAAGGAATTAAGTTATGAGAAATGTTTCATGTCTAATATACTTTTGAGGAAAGTTGGGAAAATCTGGTGATTGCAACAAGCACAGATAAAAAATCAGGCAATTCAACTTCACTAACTTAAGGTCCACATCTCTTAGAGGGACATGTCACCTTCAACTGAAGCATTGGGCCTATGTTAATATTAAACAAGAACTGATGTTGCTTTTCCAGCCTTTCTTGTATAGCTATAATGTATCTTTAGTTCCCAAAGGGTTCTAACTTCATCATATTTTTGTCTTTGCATCTGTGTGCATACTCATACAGAGTGTTATCAAAATATCAACATTGACTGGTTGACCGGCTAGTAAGTTGAGAGCCAGACCAACTGCATGACTAACTAGTTGGTCTATATTCATGATGTGGTTTCTTATGATGATTGATGACCAAGTGTTAACTGGGTCGACTAGTCAACCACAAAATTATTTTGAAGTTGTTTTTTTTTTTGTTTCTCTAATTACTTGAAACAATATAGAACTTGTTTGTATTTTGTTATAGTAATGATGTTGCTTTAAATATTTGTGATGGAACATGTTTGGCTGATGGCATATGAAATAGAAAAAGGCATAAAATAAAAGAAGGCAGTAGAGGAGTTCTTTTAAGTTCATCTCCAAGTTCCGATCAATGGTTTGCTGGTATAGAATTGCTACAAACAAAAGGCACATCAAATAATCACGGTTGCACTCTTTCTTTGGAAAACGAAAGCTATAGCCTATCCAATCTAACTATTTTATCTTTGCAAAACAGCAACTGTAAACTAAATGTTCAATAGCATTTTCTATTGCATAGTTATGATCTATATCGACTTATTTATGAGATTGCATTGATATCTTAGATTTAGACTATATCCTTTTTCATCCATTCTATTGAAAATGCTGGCAATGGGTTGTTTACTTTTATTTGTTGGCTTGTGCTTGTCATGCTCATCCATGTGTATTTGGTTTGTTTGTGTTATTGTGCCAAACTGTATGTGCTGATGTACTGCAGTACCACAAGCATCATGCTTTTGCCTTATCTTTTGGAATAATTATTCCCTGTGTTAGTGATGTTTTATCTTATTCTTGCAATACTGACTTGCCATTGGGGGTTGCTAAATTTTGACATCATACATGTTCTATCATATAGTACAATTGCTTTCTTTTACACTAATTTCCTCAAAATTAGACCCTGTTTTAAAAAGGAGAAAAATACTCTTACAGGTTTTTTATGAGAAAATGCTCTTTTGGGAACCGGGGGAGGAGAAGAGGGATCATAGGGTGAGCTAGGAGGTGGTGTGTAGAAGCAAAAATCTGGGTGGCTTGGGGATTGGGAACATCAGGAAAAGGAACATGGCTCTTTTGGGAAAATGGCTGTGGAGACTCCCAATAGAAAAGGAGAGACTATGAGCTAAAATAGTGGTAAGCATACATGGCATGGAGCAAAATGGATGGGATGCCGGAATTCGAGCTAGGACCACAAGTGCGTCACCTTGGAAAGCCTTTCACGATCTGCTTCCAACTTTCTCTCCTCTCATCAGGTATGATTTGAACACAGGCAATTCCATAAAATTCTGGGAGCAAATCTGGTTGGGGAATGCCCCTCTTATGGATTTGTTTCCTTCCTTGTATGCCCTTTTTGATTTTAAGAATGAGCCAGTTTCTTCTTTCATTACCCCTTCTGCCTAATCTTCTGGGTTTGGGTGGAATCTGGGCTTGAGAAGGGCTGTGAGAGATATAGACTTGAATAGTATCTCGAGCCTCCTTGGTCTCCTTGATAATGTTTTCTTGGACCCTACTAAGCTGGATTCTATAATATGGACCCCCACCCCCTCTGTCTCCTTTTCTTGTGCCTCTTTTTTCAAGGTTCTAAGTCAGCCCCCTAGTCCAATTCCCCCTCCCTTCTCGGTCACTGAGGTTTGGTGTAGACCAATCCCCCCTAGAGTTGGTGGTTTTTGCTGGGAAGCTTTTCTGGAAAGAATCAATACTGGTGACTTGCTCCAAAAGAACAGGCCCAAGACTTGTTTATCCCCTAACTAGTGTGTTCTATGTAAAGCGGATGGCGAAACTGATTTTCATCTATTGGTAAATTGCCAGTTTGCTAAGTCTATTTGGGTGTCGGCATTATCCCTCTTTGGGGGTAGTTGGAATCCTTCAACAAATTTGCAAAGCCTTTTTTCCCCTTCCTTCTTCAAGTGCCGATTGAAAAGGGGAAGAACCATGTGGAGATGTTTGAGGGCTGCTGTATGTTGGGCTTTGTGGGAGGAAAGAAATTCCAGGATCTTCTCTAAAGAAGAGAGGGATAGTGAAGAATTGAGAGATTTGATCCATATAAGGGCAGTACAATGGCTGAAGTCTTCAGAGCTTTTTATAGACTTCACAGTGGATGATTTATTGAGGAAGTGGAGTGAGATTGCTAACTGCACCCAGCCCAAAACAATAATGAGTGTGTATTGGACCCCCACCGGCCGGTTTTTTAAAAGTTAACTTTGATGGGAGTAGTCGGGGGAATCCAGGACAATCGGGGATTGGAGGTGCGTTTTGGGATGATAATGGACTGGTTTTAGCCTTGTTTTCAGGCCTAATTGGAGTGGGTGATTCTCTCAGGGATGAGATTTTTGCAGTTCTGGGTGGAGTCCAAAGAGCTAAGGAGATGAATATTAGAAAACTCATCATTGAAGGGGACTCGGAGGTGGTGGTAGGGTGGCTGAACAAAGAACATAGCAGTTTATGGATGTACAGTAATGAGAGGAGGAAATTTAGATGGCTTGTTCAAGAGATGGAAATTAACATCTACTGGGTGAAAAGGTCAATGTTTTGGGCACAAGTGTTCTTGGGAGCTCAAGCTCCAGCTAGAAGATAAGAAAGTTTATCTTCATCCTTGTAATATTTTTGTGATGTGGTTATTGATAAAAAAAAAAAGAAAATTCTCTTTTTCGGTAGTAAATAAAAAAGAAAATTTATTAAGAAGAGAGAGAGAGAGAGAGAGAGAGGTGATAAGACATCACTCACCAAAAGGAAAATACAATCCCCGACATCAAATCTTACAATAAAAAAAACCCCTCATCGTCGCCTTCTGACTCTCATCCTCACCCTAGATCCCAGACTCTTCCTTTATGGAGTATGATAATTGGATATGATAATTCTTGAATCCATTATGCTTATTTCTTACACTTAAAGGACGATGTCTGATAATTGGATAATTTCCAGTCCAGAAAGTAAGGTTTAATACTATGCCTACTTTTTATGGGTTGCTATGGGGAATTATTCAGTTTATGTTAGAGGAGAATGTTGTTTTCCAAAGTTCATTAGAACAGCACTAAAAAGGACATGGGGCTAGAAGAGCTAGGAGTACACCAAAAAGGACATGGGTAGAAGTAGTAAGAAATGGTTCAGGCACTAATAATTAAAGAATGGATAAGGCATGGATGATGATGATGATGATAATGGTGATGATTAGAACTGCACTAAAAAGTCGATCCTTCGAACTTCTGTGGTCAGATATGGCTAGATTTCATTGACATGAACCAGAATGTGGAAATTATTATCATGTGTGCTCTTGAACCATGAACTTCATGCTTCTAGAATCTACAGTTAACAAATGTTTCTCTAGCACTTGGAATAGTGGAAATCATTTCAGATGTTGATTTGCCAATGGCAAACAATTCTGTTGCCAATAAAAAGTATTCTTTTTATTTTTAATTTTAGCAACTGATATCATAAATTTCATGCACCTTTATGGAATGTGTTAATTCTGGGATGGCCCTGTTTTTGCCAATGTTTGATGTTGTTGTTGATAATGTTGATGATGGCAAAGGCTTATAAATGCATCACTTAATTTAATCAATGAAGTAGGTAAGCTACAAAAGCTGATCCATTGTTGCTTGCCAGTGTCCTTTGATGCATAAAGTTTCAGAGATTTGTGTGCTTAATGTAAGCTTAAGATGTTTATATACTTATTATAATTGAGAGATGATGCATCCAAACAAAAAAGTCAATGGATGCACACTCTCAAAACCATTCTAGTTTAACAGAACAAAAACAGGACCACCATATTAAAACAATAAAAGCATATGGCTGTATTTTGAGAATTTTATTATCGAGGCTTCCTCATGCACTGTTGTTGGATGTCTCTGCAATTTTCTTGCACAGACGGGCTTGGTATCTGTAGAACAACAATTGCAAGAAATGGGCATGATGCCAAAAGATTGTGATGAACAAAGCAAAAAAGGTAATTAAAGCAGTTGCACATATGCAGCATTTGAAAGTAGAGCCAACATCAAAGTATCAGAAAAAGCCTCAAAAGGCCATTTTAATGTCAACTTGAATGAAGCACACACATTGGATTAGTGATTCATGTCAACAAGAAGAAAAAGAAGCAAACTGAACATGTTTAATAGACTGATAGAAAGAAAGCTTGCAGAAGAGGCTCCATTTCTTAATCTTTCTTGGCTTCCTTATTTTCCGATTTCCCCTTGTTCTTATTGGACTTCAGGAAGCAGAAGCACGAGCAGCATGGGAGATGAAGTAAGAACTTCATTGTGCTGTTTTTTGGTTGTGCTAAATGTTGTGAAAACAATATGTATATAATGTGGCCAGAGTTATTCTATCATTTCTTGGTTTTTCTTTTTTTTCTTTTTTACATCCCATTTACTTTTTCACTCGTCCAATTGATTCCTTTCCAATTGCTTTTGGTAAAGAAGATGCGTAATCAAGCCAGCTTCAGGATACGGGTGTTTGCTGGTTGATTTATGATCAAAGAAAGTCTATTGGGTTTTGTATGCCTTTCTTTGTGGGTCATCTTGGCAACTTGTAAATAAAGCATCTCTTTTTGTTCCTTTTCTCAAGCAATTCTCTCTGGGTTGGCAAGCAATAAAGCACAGAATGCGATATTCCACATTTCCACTGGTCTCTTATGTTTTTAACAAGTTTACTGAGACAGTGAGATGTTCAGTCAAAACTACAGTGGAATTATTTGATTCACAGAAGCACCATGAAGACCTTCAGGCATCATCACCTTTACTTCTACCGTGAAATCATGAACACTGACTTTCAATTTCTGGGCCAGATCATGATAGATGAAAAATGATCCAAGATTTCCAAAACAGTGGTCAGTGGACAATAACCTTATCAAATGTAGCTAAAAGTATCATCTAGACCTCTTTTTTTTCTTCTGTTTCTAATATTTCCTTCTTTATCTGAAAAGTGCATGTGCTTTAATACTAAGATATGATCCATCGTAACCAGTTAATTGAATGATGGGGTGGATGATCTATTTGCCTTCTTCGTTGGTCCTCCTGACCCAAAAAAAAAAATGCCTCAATTGTTGGTGGTCTCGTGCATATAAAAAAAATCTTAGCAAAGCAGTAAGTTATTCAGTTCTACAAGCCATTGGCAAATGGCTTTCAGAGGGTCTTCTAGAAGAATTATCATCATCGTCTATGCCGATGGTCACTTGGCACCCCTCCAAATGGCAACCTGTTGAAGTGTAGGCTCTCTGATATGGCTAGTGAGCTTCACGTGCATTTTGTTATGCCCCACCCACGTGCCTCACCCCTCACGGCCCTCACCAGACTTGGGGGTATGTATGGTGGACGGCCCTCATTTTTTTCGGTGTACAGATGAAATACAAGATTGGTTGCAATCTTGATTGCACTCATATTGTCAGCAAACAGAGGAATAGTAGATGAGTGATCAATATTCATGTCATGAAGAAGTGCCTTAAGTCAGATTATTTCACTGCATATTGAAGACATGGCTCTATACTCGGCCTTAGTGGTCAACCAAGTGGATGGGGGATTCCATGTCCGAGATCCCACGATGGCACTTTAAAAGGCTCGTGTCCAGGACATGGTTCCATCTTTTCAGAAAACAGAATTCATCCACACTAAGCGGGGCTTGAATTGATCTATTGATGCATTGGCCACACTTGTTGTCAACTTCCGCCAAGGAGAAGCGGGAACGATCATTCAAATAGTAGGCTACATAGGGCTTCCATAGATGATATAGAGGACGTTGAAGGTTAAGACAATTGGCGAAGGGAATTGATTAGCCAATTTTAGGGGATAACCGATGACAGGGAACAAAAGTATTTGGTTTTGAAAGGGAAGCGGTACTATGGGGACAGGGGAGGCATTTTGCGACACTACATTGGACCCAGACGCATAGCTAGCATCCTGGGTGACACACATCATGAAATGTGTGGTGGATTCTTTGACCAACCTAAGCTCGGCTTAGGTCTGACCCCAACCCGAGCTCATCAAATTTCAATGCAAATTGGGCCCAAGTTGGGAAAATTTGGGCACAGTCTAGGCTTAATCCTTAAGCCCCAAATTTTAGGGTCGGGCCCGGGTTAACCATAAACCCATCCCAACCCACCAGACTTGCACCCTATACACCATATATAATTAGCAAGGCACGCTCCCAGATGATCTGTGGGAAGCCCGTCATGTATGAAAACATGCCCTCAAGTTTTGGGTCAAAGAAGGGAAGCTATTCAAGCAAGGCTACAATGGACAACCTCAAATCTATGTATCGGACGAAGAAGCCCAGAAAATACTAAAAGAATGCCATCAAGGGGAATGCAGAGGACACTAGGGAGCCATGACATTGCATGCGAAGATTCTGAATACAAGGTACTACTGGCCAACCCTAACCAAGGACATAACTGACTTTGTGCAAAAATGCAAAGAATGCAATTGCATGGAGAGCTCATTCACCGATCACCACACCTACTCCTAGAAATCTCTACTCCTTGGCCCTTCCATACTTGTGGGCTAGACTTCATAGGACCAATGCACCCGAATTTTGGGCGAAAGCAATGGATTCTCACGACTACTATGTATTTTTCGAAATGGGTAAAAGCCATAGCTTTGACACGAGCCACGAGTGAAGCAGTGAGGAATTTCACTAAGGATAACATCATTTGTAGATTTAGTGTCCTCGAATGTATTGCATCTAGTAATGGGACATCGTTCGCTAACAAAATTGTTGGGGCACTCCTGGTTGAGTACCATGTCATACACCTCAAGTCGTCTCCTTACTACTCGTAGGAAAACGAACAAGTAAAGGCAACCAATAAGGTGTTGCTAAGGATCCTTAGTCGAACGATGCATGAGTAGCAGGCCAAATGGGCAGAAGCTCCCCCAATTGCACTTTGGGCATACCGCACCACGCCGCACCACACCACGAAGCTTAGCCCCTACACCCTGGTTTATGAAGCCAAATTAGTCCTCCCCGTAGAATTACAGATTCCCACAGCCCGACTTACGCTCGCTAGCGGGATCAGAAGATCAGAAGAATGGGATCACAGACGCCTTGATTAATTGATGGCACTTGAAGTTCTACATTTGGAGACCAAGAATAACTTAGAAAAGTATCAAGAAGAGATATCTTGGGGACACAACTGCAAATTGTAGCTTAGAAAAATTGAGGTGGACGAATGGGTCCTTAAACCCACTCAGCATGTAAGGGCATGAATAAAGGCCCTGAAATTTACCTCAAGTTGGGAAGGACCTATTGTTATTAGAGAAGCATACTCTAGCAGATATTATAGGCTTGTCTTGCCCCTCAAGCTTGTGTTAAATGATCACATCAATGGTAAATGACTAAATAGGTACTTTGTTTAAATAATGTATAAAATCTTCTCAAAGAGAAGGACGACTTCCCGGGGTATAAGAGACCATCTCTTCCAATCCTTGAATCTCACTCTATAGACTAACCAATTTGCCCTCTTCTTCTGATAGCCTGGTCCTGAGAGAACTAGCCTCTGTTGGAGGAGCCTGGAGTTTACATTGCCTTTCAACCAAAAGCACTACTACTAATCAAACATATTGATTCTAGTGCCAATAAGAAGCCAGGTGAAGGAGAAAGTCATGAAGCCATGGAGCACATGGGTTAACTTGGGTGGTCGTACGCGCCGTAACAAACTAGCATTGAAGGGTCTCTCGAGAAATTTTTGCGTCCGACGTGAAAGCTACCTCACTCAAAATCTGACATAAGTAAAACAAGCCCACCGACCTATACAAGTCCACGCCTTCTTAAAATAATTTGGGGAAACGATCGAAAAGGGCTCACACTGTCACCTCAAAATTTTGAAGGAACAAACATCGCCTGACCACCAAGGGAGGTCCTCAGGCTAACCAGGTGCATCTAGAAAGGCCAACAATTCTACATCCATGACAGATTCTATTGAAGTCTCCGGATCGGATAGTGCATAACTCGGAAGGGAAGGACAAACTTGACCTATGGTATCAAAAAACAGCATCCCTACAGTGGCTTGGGTGCCTAACTCATGGGGAAGGCTTAGCACCTAGCATGTCTCCATATGAGGTAGGATTATGGCACCAGTAACACTAAGCGGCCTATGCATTAAAGGAAGATCAAGGGATTGTGTGGCAATTGCGGGCATCACTCCCTCAACAGTTGCACCAATGAGAAAAGGGGTGGGGTGTCCACGGCAGGACATCTTGATGAAGGCACAGGTGGACCTACAAGAGGAACATCATCAATAGCAGTCATCATGAGCAAATCTTCTCGTTGGAAACATAGGTGACAAAAGGACGGGTTAAGGTGATGGCACAGGTCCTAACCATTACCATGAGTAGGCTAATGGAGTGCTACCTAGCGAAAGGAAGGGTGTATGAGAGTCAAGGTAAAATGAGAGCCACGCAAGGAACGAAATAGGGAACCTACAACTGAGTCCTCATTGGACTAAAAATTACAAGCTGAAAAAGAGAGTGACAAATCGGAAGACAAAATAGGAACAACAGAAGTACTAGTGATGCATAAGCAGGCTAAGCGATGAGTTGCCATTTCTGGAACCTTCCACTTCTGCCCTTGTGATGCCAATCTAAGTTATTGGAAGGGACAGGATCATGGAGGTGGAAACATCGTGTGAACCACTCCTCGAAGAAGAAGAAGAACCAAAGCGAATACTGGTAAACTCAAGAGAGGTGTAGCAGGAGCGCGAATTTTCCCATAACTTGCTCCCCTAGGAGCGCACAAGCTCTAAGTTTCTTCTCTTCCTCCAAAATGGAAGAACGAAGCAATGAAAAGAGCTAAGGCCCCGTATGTCTCATGGTAGAATGAGAACCAGTTATTTGAACAAGAAGGTCTTCGAAAGATTTCTAAAAATGGTTAGAAGATTTGCTAGCGGATGGGTAAGATTGGAAAGGCAATAATGCATTGACAGGAAGGTCGACCGCCTCGGAAGGAACAACCGTGGGACCTTCCTCTCGCCTCTCCACGACTATTGAGCCCTATAAGGAAGAAGGAAAGGAACGTCGAAGAAAGGGGGAACAGATAAATAAGGGTGACCTCAACCAAGGGAGGAAAGTGGGGGTGAGGGTATTCGTTTACTCTCTCCGCATCGGCCAATTGGGCAGAATGATAATGACCATCAACAAGGGGTGCCCCATTCTCAACTCAAGAAAAGGGTGTGGCAAGCCTACGCGATAGATCAACAAGCAAAGAAAACTGTAGCAATGCCACTAGACTACCCACACACTCCAAATATCCACGCCAACCTGAAGATACCCCCCTCAAGAGCACCTTGAGTCCATGAAACGAAAGTCCTGGGGTAAGGTGCCTTAGTTGGAGCTAAGCTGGTTATGAAGGCCTAGAACCCCCTGGTGACCAGAGACTCACAGAGTCAGGACAGGCCTCCTACAGTGAATTCAGCCAAGCCTTATATCAAAGGCTGGGCTGAACCCATGTGGCTGATGTGTAGATTGATGTAAGGGTCCCCCGTCATACAAAGAGAGCCAACTGGGCAGCAGTGAAAGAATGGTAGGATCCATCGTATGGACGCCATAAAGATTGCGTAATGGGTGGGCAAATTTCAAAA